TGAAAAATTATGATAGAGTGACCACCATTACCCACATTAATAAAGAGATCATTGCCACTAAATTAAAACTTACTGTGTTTCCTTCTTTTATTTTTTGTTTCTGTCTGTTTTTTATTGTACTTTAAGTTCTGGGGTACATGTGCACATCCTGCAGGATTGTTGCATAGGTACACACATGCCATGGTGCTTTGCTGTCTCCATTCCCCCACCACCTACATCAGGCATTTCTCCCAGTATTCCCTCCACAACCTCCACACCCCCTGCTGTCCCTCCCCTCCCCTGCTCCCTGCCTCACCCCCTCCTAGCCCAGTGTGTGATGTTCCCCTCCCTGCACCCATGTATTCTCATTGTTCACCACATGCCTATGTGGAAAAACATGTGTTGTTTGGTTTTCTGTTCTTGCATCAGTTTGCTGAAGAACAATGGTTTCCAGATTCATCCATGTCCCTACAAAGGACACAAACTTGTCATTTTTATGGCTGCATAGTATTCCATGTTGTATATGTGCCACATTTTCTTTATCTAGTCTATCCTTGATGGGCACTTGAGTTGCTTCCAAGTCTTTGCTATTGTACACAGTGCCACAATGAACATGGCTGTGCATATGTCTTTATAAGAGAATGATTTATAATCCTTTGGGTTTATACCCAGTAATGGGATTGCTGAGTCAAATGGTATTTCTATTTCTAGATTCTTGAGGAAATGCCACACTGTCTTCCAAAATGGTTGAATTAATTTGCACTCCTACTAACAGTGTAAAAGTGTTCCTATTTATCCACATCGTCTCCAGCATCTGTTGTCTCCAGATTTTTTAATTATTGCCATTCTAACTGGCATGAGATGGTATCTCAATGTGGTTTTGATTTGCATTTCTCTAATGACTAGTGATGATGAGCATTTTTTCATATGTTTATTGGCCTCATAAATGTTTCTTTTGAAAAATGTCTGTTGATATCCTTCATTCACTTTTGAATGGGTTTGTTAGTTTTTTTCTTGTAAAGCTGCTTTAGTTCTTTGTAGATTCTGGATATTAGCCCTTTATTAGATGGGTAGATTGCAAAAAATTTTTTCCATTCTGTTGGTTACCAGTTCACTCTAGTGATTGTTTCTTTTGCCATGCAGAAACTCTTGAGTTTGATTAGGTCCCATTTGTCTACTTTGGCTTTTGTTGCCATTGCTTTTGGTGTTTTAGTCATGAAGTCCTTGCCTATGCCTATGTCTTGAATGGTATTGCCTAGGTTTTCTTCTAGGATTTTTATGGTGTTAGGTCTTATGTTTAAATATTGGATCCATCTGGAGTTAATTTTAGTGTAAAGTGTCAGGAAGGGGTTCAGTTTCAGCTTTCTGCTCATGCCTACCCATTTTTACCAACACCATTTATTAAACAGGGAATCCTTTCCCTATTGCTTGTTTTTCCCAGGTTTGTCAAAGATAAGATTGCTATAGATGTGTGGTGTTACTTTCAAGGTCTCTGTGCTGTTCCCTTGGTCTATATCTTTGTTTTGGTACCAATACTATGCTGTTTTGATTACTGTAGCCTTGTAGTATAGTTTGAAGTCTGGTAGTGTGATGCCTCCAGCTTTGTTCTTTTTGCTTTGGATTGTCTTGGCTCTGTGGTTTCATTTGTGGTTCCATATGAAGTTTAAGGTGCTTTTTTCCAGTTCTGTGAAGAAGGTCAATGTTAGCTTGATGGGGATAGCATTGAATCTATAAATTACTTTGGGTAGTATGGCCATTTTCATAATATTGATTTTTCCTAACTATGAGCATGGAATGTTTTCCATGTCTGTGTTCTCTCTTATTTCCTTGAGCAGTGGTTTGTAGTTCTCCTTGAAGAGGTCCTTCACATCCTTTGTTAGTTTTATTCCTAGGTATTTTATTCTCTTTGTAGCTATTGTGAATGGGAGTTCGCTCATGATTTGGTTCTCTGTTGGTCTGTTATTGGTGTATAGGAATGCTTGTGATTGTTGCACATTGATTTTATATCCTGAGACTTTGCTGAAGTTACTTATCATCTTAAGGAGACTTTGGGCTAAGATGATGGGGTCTTCTAAATATATCATGTCATCTGCAAATAGAGGTCATTTGACTTCCTCTTTTCCTAATTGAATACCCTTTATTTCTTTTTCTTGCCTGATTGCTCTGGCTAGAACTTCCAATACTATATTGAATAGGAGTGGTGAGAGAGGGCATCCTTGTCTAGTGCCAGTTTTCAGAAGGAATGCTTCCAGTTTTTGCCTGTTCAGTATGATATTGGCTTGGGCTTGTGATAAATAACTTTTATTATTTTAAGATATATTCCATAAATACCTAGTTTACTGAGAGTTTTTAGCATTGTTCCAGATCTGCATTCAAGTCCTGGATATCCTTGTTGATTTTCTGTCTCATTGATCTGTCTAATATTAACCATGGAATGTTAAATTCTCCCACTGTTATTGTGTGGGAGTCTAAGTCTCTTTATTGGTCATTAAGAACTTTCTTTATGTATCTGGGTGCTCCTGTATTTGTTGCATATATATTTAGGATGATTAGGTCTTCTTGTTGCATTGTTAGGTCTCCTTTTACCATTATGTAATGTCCTTCTTTGTCTCTTGATCTTCCTTCATTTAAAATCTGTTTTATCAGAGATTGGGATTGCAACCCCTGCTTTTTTCTCTCTCTCTCTCCATTTGCTTGGTAAATCTTCTTTCAACCCTTTACTTATTATTCCATCATAAGCAGAGTCTGTGTGAGTCTCTGCTCATGAGGTGGGTCTCCTGAATACAGCACACCAATGGGTCTTGACTTTTTATCTGGTTTGCCAGTCTGTGTCTTTTAATTGGGGTGTTCAGGTCATTTATATTTAAGGTTAATATTGTTATTTGTGAATTTGATCCTGACATGTTGATACTAGCTGGTAGTTTTCCCCATTAGTTGACACAGATTCTTCATTGTGTCAATGCTCTTTACCATTTGGTACATTTTTGCAGTGGCTGATGCTAGTTGATCCTTTCCATGTTTAGTGCTTTCTTTGGGAGCTCTTGTAAGGCAGGCCTGGAGGTGACAAAATCTCTCAGCAATTGCTTGTCCATAAAGGATTTTATTTCTCCTTCACTTATGAAGCTTAGTTTGTCTGGATATGAAATTCTGGGTTGAAAGTTCTTTTATTTAATGATGTTGAATATTGGCCCCCAGTCTCTTCTGGCTTGTAGGGTTTCTGCTGAGAGATCTGCTGTGAGTCTGATGAGCTTCCCTTTGTGAGTAATCTGACCTTTCTTTCTGGCTGCCCTTAGTATTTTTTCCATCATTTCAACCCTGGTGAGTCTGACGATTACGTGCCTTGGGGTTGCTCTTCTTGAGGAATGTCTTTGTGGTGTTCTCTGTATTTCCTGGATTTGAATGTTGGCCTGTCTTGCTAGGTTGGGGAAGTTCTCCTGGGTAACATCCTGAAGAGTATTTGCCAGCCTGGATTCATTCTCTCCATCACATTCAAGTACACTGATCAAACATAGATTAGGCCTTTTTACATCATCCCATATTTCCTGGAGGCTTTGTTTATTTTTTTTTCACTCTTTTTTCTCCATTCTTGCATTCTTGTTTTATTTCATTGAGTTGGTCTTTAATCTCTGATATCTTTTCTTCTGTCTGATCAATTTGGCTGTTGAAACTTGTGCATACTTCACTAAGTTCTCGTGCTGTGTTTTTCAGCTCCATCAAGTTGTTTATGTTCTTCTCTAAGCTGGTTATTCTAGTTAACATTTTGTCTAACCTTTTTTTCAAGGTTCTTAGTTTCTTTGCATTGGGTTAGAACTTGTTTCTTTAGCTCAGAGAAGTTTGTAATTACCCACCTTCTGAAGCCTGCTTCTGTCAATTAGTCAAACCCATTCTCCCTCCAGTTGTGTTTCCTTGCTGGTGAAGAGTTGTGATCCCTTGGAGGAGGAGAGGGTTTCTGGTTTTTGGTGATTTCATCCTTTTTGCACTGGTTTCTTCCCATCTTGTGGATTTATCTACCTTTGGTTTTTGAAGTTGGTGACTTTTGGAAGGGGTCTCTGAGTGGGTGTTCTTTGTGTTGATCATGAAACTCTTTCTTTCTGTTTTTTAGTTTTCCTTCTAATAGTTAGTCTTATCTGCTGCAGGACTGCTGGAGATTCACTCTGGACCCTGCTTGCCTAGGAATCACCCACAAGGGCTGCAAAACAGTATAGGTTGCTCTCTGTTCCTTCTTCTCGTATCTTCATTCCAGACGGGTACCTGCCAGATGTCAGCCAGAGCTCTCCTTTATGAGGTGACTCTTCGGATTTGGGGAGGGTCAGAGAGTTGCTTGAGGAGCCAGTGTGTCCTTTATCAGAGCTCAAGTGCTGTGCTGGGAGCTCCGTTGTTTCAATCATAGATGCAGGCCAGCAACTTTTAGGTCTTCTGCAGTGGAACTCACAACCCCCCTTTATCCCAGGTGCTTTGTCCTAGGAAGGTTTGTAAGTCCCTGATGTATTGTTGCTTTTTTTCAGAGATGCTCTGAAAAAAGGATGGAGTCTAGTCACAGTCTGCCTGTAGAGGCAATGCTGAGTTGCCATAGGCTCTGCTCAGCTGCTGTGTAAACTTCTTTGCGGTTTTGTTTACAAGGGTAAGATTTGGACTGCCTCTGTAATGGTGGACTACCTCTGTAGTAGCGTACTGCCTCAGTAATGGCAGACTGCCTTGTTAATGATGGGTGTTCTTCACCCGATGGGGCTCAACTGTCCCAGGAGAAGCACAAACTGCTGCACTGGCTGTAAACCTCTCAAGCTAGTGTGTTTCAGATTGCTGGTCTTTGTGGGGTTGGACCCGTTGAACCAGTTCACCTGGCTCCCTGCCTTCAGCCCCTTCTCTCTCAGGGGATTGGGTGTCTCTGTCTCGCAGGCATTTCGAGTGCCAGTTAAAACTGCTACCCAGATTTGTGCCGGTTTTTGTGCTGGAAACCTGGCGCTGGCTGAAACAGCTTTGCTGGAAACTCACGGCACTTGTAAACTGGTAGGAATCTCCTGGTCTGTGGGTTGCAAAAACTACAGGAAAAGGGAGAAGCACGGTATCTGAGTGCCAAAGTGGTTGGAAATGCCCCTTATGGTCTCCCTTGGGTAGTGGGGAGGGGTACTTTGGTCCACTGCACTTTCTTGGTGAAGCAGTGCCCCACCCTGCCTCTGCTCACTCTCTTTGGGCTACACCCACTGTTCAACCAGTCTCCTTAAGATGTCAGATACTTCTGTTGCAAATGCAGAGATCGCTTGCCCTCCACGTTGCTTTCCCTGTGAACGGTGCTCTGGAGCTGCTCCTATTTGGCCATCTTGGTGGCTCCCTCGGTGTGTTTCCTTTTACATTTCATCCTGTTTTTTTCTCTCCTAAGACGTAGTTGCTATCTGGATTTTGTATTTTCATTACTTGTCTCCATGTAGTTTTAGTAACTTATTTGTAAAGTTAAAGAATATGTTACTTGATTTTTGCATACTTTTGAGATTTAGGTAAGTGGAATTATGCTATGTGTCTTGCTTATCTTTAGTCAACATTATGCCCATGTTATAATGTATATAAAATTTAATTATTACTATATTTTATTTTAATATTCTTTATGTTTTAGAGCAGTTTTAGACTTATGGCAAAATTGAGGAAGGTAAAGATATTTTTCGTATACTCCTTTCCACCACACATGCATAGCTTCCTCCCTTATCACTATTCACCACAGTAGTACATTTCAATTATTTTATAGTATTTTAGTATGACTATATGACAATTATTTAAATTTTCTACTGATAATGACTATTATCTTGTTTTGTCTGTTTATTCTCCAATTATAACATTACTATAAATATTTTTGTACAAATGTCTTGTTATACATGCTTGTCTTCTGGGGATTTTGTTTTTGATGACAAGGGTGTCTTTGCATAGCTGACTGTGTGTCCAAGGCTGACGAATCTTAGCATGATGTCTCTTCCTTGTTATCTAATTATAAAGAAATGTTGAAATTTCTCTTTACCATTTGTAGAAGTACCACACCTTCTATGTAACCCACTATAGTACTTCCTGAGTGGGCAGGAAGTTTGCAATACTATGGAGGCTGGAGATGGAGGAAGTGAATGACAACTTCACACCATCATGTAACTTAACCATCTTATTGGGAATTCCTGTCTCTCACCAAAGGACAGACCTGAAGTTATAGAAAAAAAAGAGTAAAACTAAAAAACGCTAAATGCCTAAAATACTATTAGGTAAGTTATTTAATAAAATAATTAAAACCTGTGGGCACAAAATTATTACAGATAAAACTTTTAGTTCTGTGTCCATGTAGACAAAAAGCTGATGTAAAATAAAATGTTATTTTTATAGTCTTATTTTCCCTCTAGTTTAACTTTAAAAGTAAATTTCATTGATTAACCTGTAGCTTTTGCATTTAATCCACAAAATTTTTACTGAATGAAAAAGTAATTTACAAGAACATTTAATTAAAAAGTCATATTGATAACGTTTGCAAAATCAATTTTTTCTTTAATTGATCTTCAAATGCTAAGACAGATCTTCATTAAGATTTCTTGATTATCCATTTTCCCCTCAAGTCTTTAATTGAAAGTTTAAAAATTGGAAGTCTTCTTTTCTTGGATTGTTTGTAAATTTAATTTGAGATCTGATACTATTGCCATAGTTCCAATGCCAAACAATTTTTTCAAATGTTTTGCTTCATTTCAGAATATGTTTGGTATATGATTACCACATTCAGCAGGACAACACAAAACAAAAACAAAACAAGATGCCTATGTTAAATGTGAATATCAGATAAACAATAAATGTTTAAATGAAAGTGTGTCCCAAATTATTTGTTCTTTATCTGAAAATAAAATATAAGTGGGAATCTTTTTTTTAATGTATTTTAGGTTCTGGAGTACATGTGTAGATCATGCAGGATTGTTGCATAGGTACACACATGGCAATGTGGTTTGCTGCCTCCATCCCCCAGTCACCTACTTCTGGCATTTCTCCCCATGTTGTCCCTCTCCAACCTCCTCACACACCCTGCTGTCCCTCCCTTGGCCACCCCCACAACAGACCCCAGTGTGGGATGCTCCCCTCTCTGTGTCCTTGTGTGAATTTTGAATTTTATTGATAAATTCTTATCTAGCAAAATGAAGTTGAATAAAGGAAAAAAAAATGTATAGCTTTGGGAAAGAAATAGTGTCCACTGGAGGGCAAGCTAAAAAGATGGTTGCTTGTGCGTGGAAAGTTAAAGGTTGCAGAACTTCTGGGTTAGATTTGACGGAGAGAACAGGGGAAAATATATGACAGGATTAAAATGCTTATGCTGGCAACCTGATACTTTTTATTGAAAATTTGGGACTATGTATGTTATAAATATATACCCCTCTATGTCTAGTCTTAGACTTTCTGGTCAGCATAGCATAGTTCCAGTCTATCTGAAAATTTTAGATCATATAAAAAGTCATATACTTATTGAGGTTGGATCAAATGGATTTTACAATTCCAGAACTCTAAAATAAGAGAATTACCATTTTAAATACATAAGAAGAGGACCATGTATTTTGCCTATGTTTGGAGGCTGGATTTGCTACTTTTTTAAAACTTATGTTTTTCCCTTCCTTCTATTCACCTTGCTTCTCTTTGGGCCTTAACTGGTACCCCAAATCCCATTAACTTGGCTTAAATTTTTGCTGATTATTAAAATGTCAGTACCTTAAGGTGCTGTAATTTATTCAAGGCAATGGTGAACGAAATTGGTGGCTTATTACAGTGAAATTCAATGCCTGCTACACATTTGAATTCTCTGGAGAGATTTTATAAACCATGACAATATCCTTACTGCATGTTCAGAGACTGATTCAGTTTTTGTAAATAGGGCTGGACATCAAATATTTTTTAAAAGTTCAGCAGGTAAGTTTTATATGAAGTCAGGATTGAGTGTTAGTTTGTCACAGCATTGGTTGGGGTACTTGTAGGCATCAGAGTGAAAGCATCAGACTAAAATTATTTGGTGATGTCAAAGGGTTGAGTATGATTGAGCTAAGGAGTTCTCCAGGCAAATACATGCAAAAAACAAGTTTGGTTGAAGTTTTAAGTATCCCAACAGGGAGATCCCTGAGTGTTTTCTGCTCAAGAAAGTTTTATCTTAAAGTTGTCCTTTGCCTCGGATAAATTTTGATCACATCTGGTAGACCCCTCTTGAGAGGATAAATTCTTTATCCCACTCCAAATGTCTTTAGAAAGGTCCATTTCTAATGAGTAGCTGACTCTTCATTCTTTCACATATTTTTGTGTACAACATTCACATAGATTTAAGACTCAAAGTGGATGTTGTCAGTTTATTCTCTATAAATTTAGTTTCTTAGAGAACATGTGCTCTATTTCATTTAATAAATCTTTAGTGGATAAGGACAAGGATTTTAAGGAGATTTTGACACATATTAATGGAGGGGTGGAATGAAGACTTTTACTTAAAAATTACAAATAACTTGTCATGGTATTAGGGAACTCACCTTGTCAAATCCTGTCTCATGGAGAATCACATCATTTTATTATGTTTTTAAAAATACTAAATCAATCTGCATCTTTAGGATAAAATAAATACAGCTTTATCATCATTATGCATGATTTTATATATATGTGTGTGATATGTTTTATATATATATATATATATATATATATATATATATATATATACACATACAGCTATGTTGCTTATATATATACAGCTATGTTGCTTTTTGGACAATAATGAAGGTACCACTCGGCATATGCACAAGAAGAAATGAGGACATGAAAGTAATTATAAGATGTTGTGGGAAATACACATATAAATCTTTTTTTTTTTAATTTTTTATTGGATTTTAGGTTTTGGGGTACATGAGCAGAGCATGCAAGACAGTTGCGTAGGAACACACATGGCAGTGTGCTTTTCTTTCCTTCTCCCCTTCACCCACATTTGGCATTTCTCCCCAGGCTATCCCTCCCCACCACCCCCTCCCACTGGCCCTCCCCTTTTCCCCCCAATAGACCCCACTGTTTAGTACTCCCCTTTCTGTGTCCATGTGTTCTCATTTTTCATCACCTGCCTATGAGTGAGAATATGCGATGTTTCATTTTCTGTTCTTGTGTCAGTTTGCTGAGGATGACGTTCTCCAGATTCATCCATGTCCCTACAAACGACAGGAACTCATCATTTCTGATTGCTGCATAATATTCCATGGTGTATATGTGCCACATTTTTCCAATCCAGTCTATTATCAATGGGCATTTTGGTTGATTCCAGGTCTTTGCTATTGTAAACAGTGCTGCAATGAACATTCGTGTACATGTGTCCTTATAGTAGAACGATTTATAGTCTTTTGGATATATACCCAGTAATGGGATTGCTGGGTCAAATGGAATTTCTATTTCTAAGGCCTTGAGGAATCGCCACACTGTCTTCCACAATGGTTGAACTAATTTACACTCCCACCAACAGTGTAAAAATGTTCCTTTTTCTCCACATCCTCTCCAGCATCTGTTGTCTCCAGATTTTTTAATGATCGCCATTCTAACTGGCGTGAGATGGTATCTCAATGTGGTTTTGATTTGCATCTCTCTGATGACCAGTGACGATGAGCATTTTTTCATATGATTGTTGACCTCATATATGTCTTCTTTCATAAAGTGTCTGTTCATATCCTTTGCCCACTTTTGAATGGGCTTGTTTGTTTTTTTCCTGTAAATCTGCTTGAGTTCTTTGTAAATTCTGGATATCAGCCCTTTGTCAGATGGGTAAACTGCAAAAATTTTTTCCCATTCTGTTGGTTGCCGATCCACTCTAGTGACTGTTTCTTTTGCTGTGCAGAAGCTGTGGAGTTTCATTAGGTCCCATTTGTCTATTTTGGCTTTTGTTGCCAATGCTTTTGGTGTTTTGTTCATGAAGTCCTTGCCTACTCCTATGTCCTGGATGGTTTTGCCTAGATTTCCTTCTAGGGTTTTTAAGGTGCCAGGTCTTATGTTTAAGTCTTTAATCCATCTGGAGTTAATTTTAGTGTAAGGTGTCAGGAAGGGGTCCAGTTTCTGCTTTCTGCACATGGCTAGCCAGTTTTCCCAACACCATTTGTTAAACAGGGAATCCTTTCCCCCTTGCTTGTTTTTGTCAGGTTTATCAAAGATTGTATAGTTGTAGATATGTTGTGTTGCCTCCGGTGCCTCTGTTTTGTTCCATTGGTCTATATCTCTGTTTTGGTACCAGTACCATGCTGTTTTGATTACTGTAGCCTTGTAGTATAGTTTGAAATCCGGTAGTGTGATGCCCCCCGCTGTGTTCTTTTTGCTTAGAATTGACTTGGCTATGCGGGCTCTCTTTTGGTTCCATAGAAGTTCATGGTGGTTTTTTCCAGTTCTGTGAAGAAAGTCAATGGTAGCTTGATGGGGATAGCATTGATTCTGTAAATTACTTTGGGCAGTATAGCCATTTTCACGATATTAATTCTTCCTAACCATGAACATGGAATGTTTCTCCAAGCACAAAGAGGAGCTGGTACCATTCCTTCTGAAACTATTTCAAACAATCCAAAAGGAGGGAATACTTCCCAAATCATTTTACGAGACCAACATCATTCTGATACCAAAACCCGGCAGAGATCCAACAAGAAAAGAAAACTTCAGGCCAATATCCATGATGAACATAGATGCAAAAATCTTCAATAAAATATTGGCAAGCCGAATGCAACAGCAAATCAAAAAACTTATTCACCATGACATATATAAATCTTTATTAAATTTTTTTTAGATAAACTAAGGGATGTCAAGGTTAAACTAAGGGGGATTAAATCTTGTAGATGTTCCCTGACACAAATATTAGAACGGCATACATGATCAGATACGACACATTATTTTGCTTAATAAATTTTATCTTATTATAAAGGTAAAATATTAGTTATATAAAATAGAAGTGTAAAAAAACTATAAAATTAAATTTCCTTAAAATCGCAAAATTTGTCTTAATCACAGTAAACATACTGCATTGCATTTAGTCTGTTTTTATCCATCTTCATGTAATTGGGATATTCCTGTATAGTTTGTATATAATTTCATAACTTACTTTTTTATTGTATATTTTAGTTACTTTACATGAAATGAAAAACTGAAAATATAATTAGATTGAATATTATCCCTTTAAATTAGCTCTGTTGTTAGGCATTTAGAATGTTTCCAAGTTTTCACTATTATAAATGACTGTGTGTTGAATGGCTCTGTATCAGTGTTGCCCTTTAAATAACCTTTGAAAGAAACGTGATCACATTTTCATCATGAGGCCATATTTATATACTTGCGACTGAAAGTATGGTCAGTTGAAAATAGCTACAGCATTCCTTGGAAGCCGGTAAGAAATGTGGACTCTATGTTTCTTTCACTAGTGTTTTGTTATTTTACTTGTAGAGATCGTTTACCTCCTTGGTTAAGTATATTCCTAAGTATTATATTTTATTTTATTTGTAGCATTGTAAAAGGGATTGAATTCTTAATTTAATTCTCAGCTTGGTCATTGTTGGTGTATAACAGTGCTAGTAATTTATATATACTGATTTTGTATGCTGAAACTTTTCTGAATTAATTTATCCGATCTAGAAGCTTTTTGGATGAGTCTTTAGTGTTTTCTAGGTATATGATCATATTGGCTAGCAGCAGTAGTTTGACTTTATCCTTTTTGATTTGGATGCCCTGTATTTTTTCCCCTCGTCTGATTGCTCTAGCTAGGACTTCCAGTACTGTGTTGAATAGAAGTGGTGAAAGTGGGCATCCTTGTCTTGTTCCAGTTATCAGGGGAATGCTTTC